GTGACAACTTGATGAAGATCCACTGCTCATTTTGAACACAAGAAGGAAACTGCTAAAAGTGATACCGGTAGGGTCATTTACAAAGCAGGCAACGACTGGAATGTGCATGGGCTGTTTGGGCAAAGATACAGAATGAGCAGTTGCATGTACATTATGTGGAAATCTGTCAGTCAGGAAATTGATGACACACATTCATGTACAGTAGGCTACAGTGTAAATTACAGACATTAGAGCGAGGATGAGTGAAGACGAAGCACAGGGAATGTGGGAAATTGTTCCCTGTTTTTGTTCAAAAGTTGTCACTGCCCATGTTGAAGCTGTGGAATGGATCTTAATTATATATAACAGGTTTTTCCCCTTCCCCAACGTATATTAATAATGGAATGGATCTTGGAAATTACTGCTCCAATTCCTCAGACAGGCAGTCCCCAGAGACTTCATTTCAATTACAGGGGTATCTCAGTTACATGTATGCCCAATAGTTTGGCAAAGGTCTACAATAGACTTATCCTGGATAGGATACCAGAGGGCTGATTGTTGATCCCATCTTCAGAGGAAACCAAGCTGGCTTGAGACCTGGCAGCGTGTACATACTGTATATAGAATACAAACTTTCAAATGTACATGTACATGTACATGTACATGCGTGTATATGTACATGTGTACATGTACATGTATGATGATACCGGTACATCTTTTACACTCCAAGAAGACATTCTTAGTCCCTTGTTTCTGATTGATGTTGGTTACACAATAAAGAGTGTCTAACGACAACATGTTACACTGGTGTACATGTAGCTGACATGTACAAGTATCAACAATCTACTTGGCTGCCTTATACATGTACATGTATGCCTTCTTGAATCATCATTTGTATCAGTAGTTGTCGTCTGTTTCAAGAGGACAGAATAAATTACTAATTCCTTCATGCTGGACTTTCTTAACTACAGGTTCCTGAACGAGAAAGAATTCTAGGGGTGCATGCCACTGATTTTAGATCTGGGTTCTACATGTCTGCTTTCACCAAGTATATGTACAAAGCTTTTTGGCATGGAATCTTACAGTGTGTACATGAACATGTACATATACACTGTACACTGTCATGACTGCAGTGTACATGTACATGTGCATGTGTACATGTACATGTACTTGTCTACACGTACACCTGTAGGTTGCCTTATGGCAGTGAAATCTGTAGACAAGAACATGTAGTACTCACTTCAACAAAGATAACCTTCTTTAAAGCAACATGCTTGCCAGTTTTGACATACTGTACTTATGTACATATACCGGTACATGTATGGAAACAATGACAAAATCAACACACTCA